TAATATGCCAAGTTGACTTGTGACAAGTTTGACACTGACTGTGAGAAAGTCTCGATGATGATCATCTCATCAGATAATGTCTTATTCGCATAACTAACAAAAAGTTTCATTTTTATATGAAAATATTTTTACGTGATAGTCTAATGGAAACTATTATTGAATTATCAAATGTGCAAAAATAGCTAATGAATAGAGAAGCCTTTCAATTGAGGGTAACTAGTTTTATTGACTTTTTCAAGATAATTATAAATAAATAGGTATATCAGTTTCAAGTACGTTAAACAATCATTTAAAGTAATTAACAAGAGATTTTTCACTTCTAAACAACAAATAATATTGTTATTAAGCAAAAACAGATAAAATTTATTTAATTGTTAGTATTAGCTTTTATGAAATGTGATCAATGAAATAAATGATTTTTCATATTATAAATGGAAATGTTTTATTGAATTTAACTTTATTTTTTATTTGAATTCTATAATAAACCCATTTAAAAAAAAAAGTTTTTTGCTAATTACTATATCAATGGAAGAAGTTTTTCATTGGTTGAATTCTCTTCTCGAATTAATCAATTAAATCAAGAATTCTGATCGATTTTAACTCTCATTTTTAAATTAAATCGATAATTTTCTTCCATAGAAAAAAGACAAAGTAAATGATTGAATTTATATTTTATGATATTTAATCAAAACCAGGATAACTAACAGTTTTTATTTTTATTACAAAACAATTTAAAATATATTCTTTTATTTATTTGAATTGATTGAGAAAATTTGATACAATGATTATTGATAAGTTCTCTCATTAGATAGATAAAATTAATTTAATTAATTAGTTAAAAAAAATAAAATTCAATTAATTGATTTTATTTATCGAACTATTTTTAGAATATTTATATCGTTGAAATAAATATTACGTTCGACGTTCAATATATAGAAATATTTCAATTTGATTAGTTCAATATGATTATCTAGAAATGACTTGTTTTCTTTCGAAGAAAATAATCAGTCGAACTTTTAAATTGACTCATTCCTCCTTGTTCCAATAATAGAACTTCATCAACAAGATTAAAGTGGCTTAAAGACATCAATAACAAGATTTCGAAGGTTCTAGAATATTCATGAATCTTTCTTGAAATTAAAATGCCTTGTAACAATATTTTAAATAAGATAATTTAGCTTTCTCTTGCGTAGATTATTGTTCATATATAAGATGTCAACAATTGTTGATATTCATACGTTGATTTAATGCAGTTATTACATGATAACATAAAAAATATGAATTTATCAATTTTCAATTTTGGAAAATAATCACTCTGAAAATTTGTTAGTTGATCGATATCTAAGGTATATATAGAAGAAAGTTATTTGGCACTCAATTGCGTGACAAGTAAAATAAGAAAGTTAAATAAAGACACAGGAAAGGCGCAACAGGAAAAGGACGATCGAGTAGCATTGATGCAAACGAAAAAGTAGAACGGCCTTAAAAAAAAAAAGAAAATAATTTTCTGTTCGAAGTTAATTAAAAAAAAGAGACGTCGTTTTCTGACATTGAATCATCATTCAAAAAGAACAATCGTCTTTTACAGATTTTACACATTGACGATTTTTTATTAATTTAATCCATCTAATTAAGACAGATGAGTTCAACATTTCAGTCACAAAGGAGTTGCGCTAACAATATTTTTCTTGTTTTATTTTTCGAAAATGTATTGAATAAATCAGTAAAGCAGTATCATAATTTAAGAATCTTACTTTTTTTTATTTGTTTGAGTCATTTTTGTATTGTACTATTCAAGGTATTTGAGTTAATAAGTATAAATATAAAAGATGATTAAACATTAAAGAAATAAAAAGGAAATATAAACTATTTGAATAGATAAAAGTAAGAAAAAGATAGATCTAATCTATGTAAATGTCATGTAGAGTATGAGTTGTTATTAATATCATATATCGATGGGAGGAAAAAAATGGAAAACATGCATTAATGACAATATTTCGTTTCGGTCGATTGAAAGTAATAACATCGTAAGTATCCTATATATACATATTTATATTGAAGATTTTCTTTAGTGGCAAGTTCAATTTATTTGAAGCATTTAAACATAAAAAAATGGATGAACAACAAAGAATTGATAGTCAGTTGAATCGTGCTAATATAAATCATGATAGAATAATTGATGAACTAGCATGTTGACAATATCTTCGGACAGTTTGAAATGAAAGAAGATTATCTAGCAATATGAACTATCAAGATATTCAATATATGAATGTAAGTTTTACTCTTTTTATCATTTTGATAATCTTTGAGAAATAATTTCAAATAATATAGTTGCAAATATAAGATGTAAGTCAAACAATACTACATTCAATTGGTCTTGATGTAACTGTTGCTGATTTTATACAAAATACAATAAAATATGAAAGATATACAGCAGGTATCCATCTGCCAGAAGCTCTTATATATGGTCTTAGCCCAGTTGTTCGTATTGGTACACTAAATATTGCTAGAATTAGTAATCAATATGATCCGGCTGGTGCTATGTTTGATTATGGTGACGTTAATCATGATGGAAGAATTGCTAAATTTGAATTTGGAATATTTATGCGTTAGGTTTTTAATACATCTTTTATAATTAATTCTGTGCTTCATGCTACCTTTATTTTTGTTCTTTCACTACCATCTAGGTGTTCTTAGTCCACCTGAGGAGAGAAATCCTGCTTTCGTCATTAGCAAGGATAAGGGTTCACTTTTCTTGCTATATACTTCGATAACTATCAGGAATTGTTGTCAGAAAACTAAAATGCTCTTCAGTATTATGTCTTATGCATCTATAAAAAAAGTTAAAACATTGAAACTAGCTAAAGTGCAAGATAGGTTATTGTTTACAAAGCGTGCTACAGACAAACAGCACACATACATACAAGGAGACGCAGACAGCCATTTTTATTTTTCACTTAACTTTATAGACCCTAAATTTTAAGTCCAGAAAATAATTATAAATCATATAAAAAAAATCCTAGAAAAATAATTATCACAGTGACGAGTGTGGGTATGCTCACGGTGATCAGTATGGAAGACGTCAAAGGCACACTAAATAGAAAATTCATTCTCGTCGAAAACACAAGCAGCCACGCAAAGATTCACATAAAAATTTGCAACAGGAAGAACAACAGCCTTGTTTAGCAGGAGAATAAAAATGTCGAGAAGTAGAAGCAGCAGGAGAACGATGAAAAGGATAAGGAGAGGGAATGTGAACACGAGGAAGAGCACGACCACAGAGACATACAGGACAGCCGGTAATACAGTCAGCACAAACATAACCTGGACGAATCGTATGAGGTGGATTACTAGTAATACCAGCACATTTGATGCAAATTGAAGAATAAAGCGCACCACAAGATTGACTATGACAGTGGGTACATACATAAAAATCACGACGAGGAATAACAGTGACAGGAAAGGACTTCTTAAACCAATCTGGTAACGATGTCATACTTGTTTAAAGTATTCTAAATGAAGTTTGCTCGAAACTCAATAATGTACAGTTATTAATAAGTATTTATCAAAAAAAGTTTGCTGACTGTTCTATTTGGCACTATGCAATGTGAATCGCTGGATATCGTAAAGCAAGTTCGATGCATGAAATTCTGATTGACGACAACCAAATTTCGACCAATCTAAATGATCGAATAGGCACTGTATGAGAGAGATCTAGATCATCTGTATGAAAAAAAGTTCTATATATATAGCATGAGACAATCGTTTATAAACACTTCAGTCTCTGAAAAACTAGCCAAGACTCTCACTAAAACGTAACACGACTTTGTTAGTCTGATAAATATTCTGCGAAAGATTAAGAAATCTCCATATAGTCGTAACTGTTTAAAATCATCAGAAACAACTTTCAAAAATTGTTTAATAACAATGGCGAACGAGCTCATGGATTAAAAATAACTAGTATTGTGTCTTGTTTAAGATTGTCACAGAATCTTATGAACATTGGAATGTGGTATCCTGAATCCCGTCTACTGGGACCGCAGAAGATTTGCCATGAGTAGTGAAACTTTAGTGTCATTTATAAGAGCAAGTAGCGAGTTTCCATGTGAATAGAACAATCAATCCGTTCCTCAGCTTTTATTGTACTTGAACGTGATTAACACGATTAAGATCCAATATACTAGGTAGACACACTTATCGTAGAAGCAATCGTTTTGATTTTAATCGCAGTCTAGCTACCTTAGAAATTTTCTTGTGCAACATGAACAGTTTCAGAAAATGACTATGATGGAGTCAGCGGGTGATTGTGTTACGTATTGCCTCGTGTAGCAACATCAGATATTTCTCAAAGCAGAAAGAGAGAGAATAAACTCGAATAAAAAAAAATCATTTTTCTGGTAGAATTATGGGGTTATTTCTCTTCTCTACTTACATGAACTACTAGACTCACAGATGAATAATAAAAAAGTCGAGTAGTAAAAAGTACACGAGAACAACTTAGTAAATGTTTCTAATATGATCTTTTCTCAGGTAAGTAACAATCGCTTTACTGGATCGGTCAATGCTCATTGTATCTATAGCATGGTTCATCACAGATCTATACGATTGATCTATGGCATTTTTTGAACAAGAACTGTTCATTGGTACTAACAAGTGGTCTTGGACTATTACTCAAGGCTTTCTGAGCTACAATCATGCTTCGAAACATGACATGAAATCAGATAGGAAGAAATTATTCTTTGACTTCTGCAAACACTCACATGTGTCTATATTGATTTTTACCATAGTATCTGCATATAGAAACAGAGCGTAAATATTCAGAGAGAGAGAAACAAAAATGCTGATGAAAATATTACATTGCTGCACAAGTGAATGGATTTAAGTTAAGTTGTTCACAGCATCAGAGAACAAGAAAATATGTACAGTAATTTACTGTCATGGCCAACATTCAATGTCTAAGCTCTTCATTTCGTCCTGTGGATAATATAAACATGATGTACTTTTGAAGCGGCGACAGTGACATTATATGTATTTTCGTTCACAACCACATGAAATACAAATATGCTCTCTAAACTAGAATTCTTTTGAATTACAAATAGGTCAGCAGACATCGCCATGTATTGCAAGAAAGGTTTCAAATAAAACTGGTAATAAGATATAATCAAAGAAATCAAGAAAAAGACGATACCATGAAGTTGTCTAACATTCTTGCACTCGCAATTAGTGACCGATCTTAGAACGCCTTCAGAAATCAAACCCAATCGAACAGATGTACGATGATAGTAAAATTCAGTTTGATTATGCAAAAATAGGACAGAAGAATGTAGCAAGAGTTTTTTCTATTATTATACCAGTTGATGAATTCGTACATAGTTAGACTGTATGAATGTTAAATGATTTTGTAGGATTGTCTTTTTCTTGGTTTCTTTGATTATATCTTATCGCCATTATGTCTGACAGCTTTCTTGAAATACATTGCCATGTCTGCTGAACTACTTGTAATTCAATAGAATTCTAGTTCAGAGAGCATAATTATATTTCATGTGGTTGTGAACGAAAAAGACAAATATAATGTCACCGTCGCTGCTTCGATAGCACATCACAGCATACGACAGAGAGAGAGAGTACACTTCATGTTTACATTGTCCACAAGACGAAACGAAGAGCTGAGACATTGAATGTTGACCATGGCAGTAAATTGTTGTACATATTTTCTTGTTCTCTGATGCCGTGAGACAACTTAACTTAAATCCATTCACTTGTGTAGCAATGCAATATTTTCATCAGTATTTTTGTTTCTCTCTCTCTCTCTCTGAATAGTTGCGCTCTGTTTCTATATGCAGACACCATGGTAAAAATCAATACAGACACATGTGAGTGTTTGCAGTAGTCAAAGAATAACGTCTTCCTATCTGATATGATGTTGTATTTCAAAGCATGATTGTACTTTAGGAAGACTTGAGCACTATTGTCGGGATTATTTTTATAGTATCTTCCGCTATTTTTCAAATAACTTTTACCAACTAAAAGCTATCAAAGTCGACTTTTCAAAGCTAGATAGCGTAATCAATGGACCATCAATCTCCCTAAACTTCATAGGATTAAATATAGGTTTTCTATGTTGTCCTGCTACCTAATATTTTGTCTTCTCACTGATATCCTTCATATCGAAGGTAATATCAGTCTTTAGTTATATAAAATCGTAGCATGAAACACTTCAAACTGATAATACACTTTTCACAACTTTTTAATTACTTCTGGTCTTTTTGGAGTTTTTCATAAATAGTCATTTTGCTAAATAACACTTACAAAAATACATGAGACGTAAAGTGTGACCTATTGGCCAGGAATACTTTTCACATTGTAATTTGAATTAACTGATCTCGATCTATAAGGATGAACTGACTCAAGATAGGTTTAGCTTTATATAGTTTTAAAAATAAGTGTTGAAATTCTTGAGCAAAGCCTTGATTCGTACCAAATACTGAATCGATTTTATGAACATTTCATTTTCTTTACTACAAATGGTAGTTGTTATGTATAAATAGATTTTCAGTCTTACTGAATAACACGTTTCTATTTTTTCCGTCCATCTAACTTTCAGGTAATCTTACCGTTTGATTTCCTGCTCGCTCACGTGTTACTTGGTTTTCTCCTATCTGTTGTCAATCTCCTTGTTTCGTCATCCATTTATACATTCTTATACCTTCTCATTCTGAGCAGTGAGAGAGAATGGCAAACAGTTGCTATGAACCTTCATAAGAAGGAGGCACTGTACATGTACTAAAGAAAAGAAAGATGATGCCTCCAAGCCAAACAAATGCAGCTTAATCATCATACTTATTTTGATCAGTAACAATTGACATTAGTATTGTCGTCACGAGTTTTACATGTACCGTATGTTCATAAATCTTCGCTTAGTATTTGTCACAAATCAAGGTTTTTCTCACAAATTTTTTACAGTTATTTAAAAAACGGATAAAGCTAGACTAAATTTGACGCATTTTGAGGCAGTTTACTCTCATAGATTGATACAAGTCAATTCAAATTTAAACGCAAAAAGTTTCCTTAGCCAATGGCTCACACTTTACGTCTCATGTATTTTTGTAAGTAATATTGAACAAAAGGACTATGTGTGAAAAATTCCAAAAAGCTACGGGGTCATTAGAAAATTCTGAAACGTATATCATCAATTCGGGGTGTCCTATGATACAATGTTGCATAATTTTAGACTAAGTTATTATCAACATGTAATATATCGGTCCAAGAGCAAATTATCAAGCAGCAAGAAAATATGAAAAACTATATTCAACCTTATGAAGTTTATGCAGATCGATGGTCCATCAATTGTACTATCTAGTTGTGAAAATCCGATCTGGATAGCTTTTACTCAACAAAGGCTATTTGAAAAATGATGGCAAACATCATAAAAAGTGAGGTAATAGTCCAAGATCACTCTTTGACATTGATGAAAGCTGTGGTTTTTCAAAGAACGTCATAAACCTATCTTATTGGTATGCGATGGACACAGCTGATGTATAAGAGAAAAATAAATGAGTGATCCTAATATGATAGAGGCTTTTATTACGGGAAATAGATTACGAGCAAATGCGTTGTAATCCGTTTTATTCTTTCTATAAAATATGACAAGGGTAATCTTCGATCATGAATGTCGGACATTCTGAAAAGAAGACTTTATGATGCATTCTATAAGAGGTTATATTTACCAACGTTATCATTTTAGGCAATAATGTAAGCTTCATCGGCTTTCAAAAATCGATCGATATAAAAAAATGTTCTTGCTTGTACTCAGTTCATTAGAACAGCAAGTATTCTACAACTTTGTCAATTAGTTTCTTGTACATTGACTATTTGTATAATGTTTTAAATGTATTAATGAAACTATCTTGCATAAATCTCTTGAAATAGTTGCAATCAGTTCTAATGAAAATTGATTCAAAAAAAAGTATACAGATGCTTAGCATCATAATTCTTGCCAAAAACGCGATATCTTGTGTTACGTTATTATTAGATAAGGTAGATTTTTCATCTTCTATAACTGTTGTGATTTCTAATGTTCCTAGAGAATATAATATTCTTCATTGAAATTCAGCATTGTTCCCTTGTTCCTTACTTCATTTGATAAGAACGAAGTTTATTACCAACGTCTTGATCTGATGCGTATGACTCCTCACAGAGTTTCTATTTTAGTACACAGCCTTGTTTTCTGAATTATTATAGAATGGAAAATATTATTTACTGACATCAGCTTCAGATAAAAACTACATTATATTCGTTACACACTTTTATTGATTGTTCTTCGAAATACTATAGTCATTTGAGTATTCTAGGATGGGTAGCGGGTCGAGTATTGTATCAAAAGGCAACCAGACAGCTCTAAGTCCGAGAGTCCAAGCGCGGCAGTCTAGTTTGTCATTATCTTCATCTAGCCCGAAGCCACTACAACAACAGCCACGCCGATAGTTAAAACAACCGCAGAGAACGACGACGCAATCAAATTTACCATGGGCATTGCCACCGAAGACAGAGATGAGCGAATTCGATTTAATACCTTTTGATCAGAATCATTACCGGTTACCATCAAGATCTTCATCAGTAAGCTTGCTTGGTGCTTCATTTGAAAGTCAATTAAATTATCGATCATACAAATCAAATAAAAAATCGAGCATGATATTGCCTTGTTCGTTTAATCGTCTCCGCATTAGGAAAACAACTGAACTAATGCATGTGCATCCTTTGTTCTTACTGAACCACTCAGAAATTTTTTCGGGTTTCTTGTTTTACCGATCAGATTTCTTCTCATTCTCTCTCATCTTATCTAATCTGTGACATGATACTTTCCACACAACGCTACCAAAGAATATGACCAGTTGAACAGGTCAATGAGAACATCTTCTCATTTATAAGAACTCAACAGATCATGGTATATTTAAGAGAGTGCAAACGTTAGGACACATGTGCAAAGGTGACTGGTAAATGAACCTTTAGAAGTCATTATATCTCTAGGATAAAAGCCTTGTTCTACTAGATACCTTAATATTCATTTTGAGGTCCTCGAAGAAGTTCAGAGGACGAATTAGTTTTTGAATAAAACTAAGTGATATGTAGTACTAACCATTAAACATTTTGTTGCATTTCAGAATATCATAGCCTGTAGAAACTGGGAGGGTCGTAGAAACTTTATTTTAGTGAAACAAATAGAAGTAAACTTCTCATATAATTGATATCAATTTTTTTCTTCATGCCTAGCCAACATCAAAAGCTGACTTTGAAACAATAGAGGCATCAAACCCTGCTCCACATCAACAACAAGAAAGGAGTGACAAGGAATGGACAATAGTCGATGTCGATTCCCAGTCACATAACAGTGCACATGTTCAATCGCAACTGACTGCTCGTTCACACGCTTGCTTTAACTTAGCTACTTCCGCTAACGTCGATGTATTGATGCGAAATCTCAAACTGATCTACAAATTCCTCGACGATCGTGACAAACATAAATTAGAAGAGGTATCAAAAGATGCAGATCAAATTCTAGGACAGATAATTGATGATGCAAACAAAGAGCAAGAACATCAGTTGAAATTCGACAAAGATCAACAGGAAATACATATGAAAAAAGATACCAGGAGTGGTTACAGATGTATATCGTTGAATTGAACAAATGGCGATCTCAAGAATTGGCTGAGCTACAAAAGGAATTGTTACGCTATCAGAAGCAGATAGCTGACAATTCACGACACTATATTGATTTGCTTAGTGAACATACGAACAATCGTAAACTGAAGATTCTTCAAGATGAACAGGAAATTTCACAAATCAAATCCAAAGATCTTACTGATAAAATTCAAAATATTGTAAACGAAGACAACCTTCAACAGCTTGATAGCGAATCCAAGACAGAATTGAATTTAAGGATACAAGCAAATGTCAGTCGAATACCGCCCGGGCAAGGTTGCCAGAACGATCCTGTCTGAAATAACACTAATAGGAACCAACCATCACTATGATTTGCTTTTGAAAATGTACTACTTATGATATAACAAAAGGAACAAGATTTTTAGAAGAAAATATAGACAAAAGTTATTCCAGATTTTATTTCATTAAATATTCGGTATATATGCACTTCCCTGAAAAACACTTCGTCGAAAGTATTTTTGGCCACGGAGGATGCTTCAAATGTGAGGATGGAGGCAAAATGAGTTGATCTCTTCATGCTTAACAAGCCTGTATAAGAATTAAAGGGCTCACAACGGTCTAAACTGTCCTGCGAGTCTTTCTATGAAATGATTTTCGGCAAAGAGCATTACATTCTTCAATTTGAGGTAATTTAAAACATCTTCATGCACATGTGATTTGGCGCTGTCGTGATGCAGCTTTATGGCATATGCACTAGATGTTGGCCTTTTCTTCGGGATTTTCTCAATAAGAGGTTCCAAGTCGTTATCAATGTAATAGATATGATTGATGGCCTCAAGTTAGTCAATTCCATGAATTAATACAGCACCAGTCATTTTGAAAAGGATGCACAACAGAATTTTTACAGTAAAGCGACTTTGTCTGACCAGGGTAGGCAGAATTCCTTCAATAAGTGTCTTGACAACATCAATCAACCACTTGGTGTTAAAAAAAGAAAAGAAAAACATGTCAGAAGAAAGCCGAAACACATAGGAAAACAATCACAATCTGAATCGTTGCTTCTTACTGTCTGTATTTTTAATGGCACGAAAGAATAGCATATAATCTGATTGCTAAACATCGAGACAAGTTTTTCGCTGGGTTAATATATTTTCTGCACTGCTGCTAAACGGACATTCTATTCGAATGCTTACTGATTGTATTGAATGCATTAATATAGATTATTTAAATAAATAAGAAAATTTATCATGCTTTGGTTTGTGTCAGAGTTATATCCAGTTGAGAGTTTTGAAATCTGTTCAATCTGGACGTTTCAAACAATGTATAGATCAGTGGAAAACGGCAAAAACTCAGTGATTTATTGGATCGTATGAATCGGTTAATGGAAATAGCTTCAAAAAAAACATTCATATTTCTTTTTATACTCAAGCATTTACAAATCTTCAGACAAAATATCATGTTATAATTGTCTATATCTGATAGGCTTCTCAAAGATGAATATATGATACTTCTATATATGTTGCGAAAAAAAAGAAGTCATTTACTCTTCAACTGATTACTAAACTCCAAATCTTGAATTTTCTCACTCATCTTTTTTTCAGACAAATGTAGCATTTCTCTTTAAACGACGATCCAAACATATATGCTATAAGTTTAGCTGAAGTACCATAGTTTTGATTGAGTTTTTAAAAAAATGAAAAATAATTAGATTAAAGGAATACAACAGTGAGTGTGAGAATGGAAGTGTGGGTCTGTGTATCGATGGAAGGGAGACATACACTTATGCTCATTCTCAAATCAGAATGCTGCAAACATCAATTGTTATCTGTAGATTATAATACGAGCACTGTAATCTTTGACTCTAAAATATTGATTATTGTTCTAGAGGTCTCGTTGAAGTCAATACTTTCGCAATGACAGTTTCAATGATATAATATAGTTTTTCTTACTGTAACCTTGAGTCTTAGTTATAGACATGTTGTGAACAGCTGTGTATTCAATTAGCTTCTGATCTTGAGATCTCGTTTCAGCTTCAGATAGTTCGAGTAGCTTGAAGCAATGAGAGAAGCTAGTGAATGATGCCACTAGAATTGTTCTATTGAGAAAATCTTAACTCATCAGATATATCTGAAGAAATTGTTGTCAACTATGTCATCTGAAATTTATGAAGTAATTTTATTGAACACTTCTTCGCAAAAGTGACCGAGAGCTGAAACCTAGGAAACATTTTTATATTGACGGATGAGTGACTTTTCTCAAACAAAGTTTCACCATTTCCAATGAGTGCTCTTATACTTCTTAGGTATGAAGACAAGCTTTGAAGCAATATATAATACGAAACTCTTTTTATATAGAATTTTACAGTGTAAATTTAACTCTAGAGCGAGCAATACTGTAAATTCATGTGAGTTAGCCGAGTGCAGCGCGAAATTCCGCCATAGAAAAATTTGGATCAGGCTTGCGACCTGCAGGCACTGCTGCTTCCTTGTGTCCCAATACTCGTGAAGTAGGTATACCGTAAGCTGCCTGAAGAGCTTTCACACCGCGCACATAGCTCTGCCATTGCACTTCAGGCCAATATTGGTGTCCTACATTATCGGTTGGAGTACCTGAGGCTTCAGCTTCGATACCAATGGCGTTCGAGTTTCCAAAAATTGAGTCATCGATCGTAGCACCAGCGTGATAAGAACGACCAGCTGCAATGACATACCATGTTCCTGAACGACCTAAACCCAGTTGTGAAAGAGGACCAGGAAGATCAGAACGACCGTCTCGAACGACAGCTCGTGAAGGAAATTCGCCTGTCGCTGGACCAGCCGTGTGATGAACTAGAATGCCTTTTACTGAGGCCATTACACCATGACCACGAGTCTTCCAACCAGGTTCTTCAACCACATTGAGACCTGCTGTGCGAAGTATGTTAGCCAAGTCCGTAAGCATCGTATTCACTGGTTTACTGGAACCAGTGCCAGATGGATTGGAGCCTTTCACACAACATTGCATACTGCTATCACCAGGACAAATACCTGAGTAGGAGGTTCCACCACTTGCTGCACAGGCAGCAGCATTCATGCAGTTATTACTAAACTAAACATGATTAGTTTCTGAATATCATTGACATAGAGTGTCTTACCAAGTGCAACACTGAATGTTTTTGCCACCAGAACAGAGACCAGCTTTAGATGATCCACCTTTGGCAGCGCACACACTAGTATCGATGCAAGCATTGTCGGACCAGCATTGTGCACTGGCAGCTCGTGCGTGAAAGACGACGAGACATAATATACTAATCAGAAGTCCGATGCAGAACATTTTTTAAGTATTGTTACTTGTGAAAAACAAGTGAATGACTTGCAGTCAGTCGGCAATGCAATAAATAGTTTTTCACTACGAAAATAGAGGATTAAATCGGAGCTTTTTAAAAAGCAATTGGAAAATGAGCTACAGCGGATTGTATAGTGCTTCCTATCAGGTTTCTTTTTATTTATAGTGTATCAAATTACAGAAAACAAAGGAAGAAGATTAATTAAATGAGTCTTAAGGATGGGATATCTTTGATTACTGAGCGAATAGAAACAACCAATGCAATTAATAAGAGAATGCACACATCCATCCTGCTCTCTCATTCTTTATCCTGCATTCAAGGATAACTTTAGGATGCATCTAGCAACTATTCATCAGGCATCGTGTAACATGTGTGTTTGATGTCGGAAATCAGTACTATCATTGTTGCACACAAGTATTCTATCAGAAAAGATGAATTATTTTGGAGTGAGAAGTGTTAACTATCACAAAACATCATTCTTCTCTTTCTTTTCATATCATTGTATACCTTTTGTGTATTAGGGAATGTTATTTTATTTTCTTCTCACTCTTTATTCCCACCATATGCTTTTTTTTCGGCGTCATATCTAAATGTTAATAGAGAAGAGTGAAAAATAAATCAGAACAAGGCCATGAATGGAAGTTTTTAGATTTGTTTCGATTTGTGTCCTACTTTATTCTGATCCGACTGACTAGAAAACAAATGGAGAGAAAATAAAGAACAAAAAGTAATCAAAAAATGAGAAAGAAGAATATAAAAAAAAGATATAAATATCTGTGCAGCACACCAGATGTCACTGCAAACATCTATTCCTGTGCACTCATAGATATGTGTCGATATATGCCAATCATTGTTGATTTCCGATAGTCATGATTGTTGTCGTTGATTGAAACTACTGATCTATCACCCTTATTTCCATAATTGCTCATAATTTTTCTGCGGGAAAAAATTGACGCGGATAATGGTTTGCGGAATGTGGATCTAGATAAAAACGAGCGAAGAAAATATCCAAATTCACATTTAACATTGAAAAAATGAAAACTTTGACTAGAGGTTGCCGAAGCTTGAACTATTATTTAGTGATTTTCTTATGAAGATCACAGGAGAGTCTGACTTAAGAAAAGTTGAATTTATTCATCTCTATTCAGTAGAAGGGTATCTTATGAATCCTAAAATCAGTGTTTTTGCTTGGCAATATACTGTTGTACGTGCTTGAAATACTATCGAAGTGCAAAAGAATATAAGCATAATGAGAATGAGTTTTTGCTGAAACTGAGACATACAGCGAGTGAAAGAATGAGAGTCATCGATCATTATACTGGGCGTCCTTTTCGAGTACGTGCGACATAATCAAAGTGAGTACATATATATTTATTGAGAAAGAGTGAAACCATAAAAGTGGAATACATCGCTTTGTTGTGGACTATCATCATATTCCAATGGACAAAGTGAGAAAGTTCAAACGATCAAATATAGCACAGACTCTTGGTAAACAAGATCGAATGCTAATTAAGATAGATAAAAAAAATGAAATGATGGCAACCTTTGTAAAAAAAAAACCATATAATAAGAAACAAAGAAAATGTATTCAATATTAGCCACGCATTGAATGTTTCATAAAAAATGATGCGGTGCTACTTGTCGTCGATTGATTTTCCATAAAATTCGAATGTCATAGGTCATAATTAAAAGCAACAAGAGAACGAGTCCACTATAGACATTAAACATTGTGACAGCAATGTCGAAAAATTCTGTTCGCAATGCTGTCGTGTCGGAGCAATATGTCGCAGCACATTGAGAATAATATTTATCATAGGACATCTAAATGTTGAAAAAAACTCAACCAGACTAGTAAATACAGTACATTCTTGTGTAATAATATCAACACCGAATATTCTTCGATAAGCAACTTACCAAAGAATTCCATGACTGTAATATTTGGTTGAAACAGGGATAGAATTGCGTGATTAAGAGCGAGCAGTGATCTTCGAGTATTCAAAAAGAAAAGATATTGATCCATCATACAATCAATGCAAAACTGTGAATATAAACATCCCAGAGTAGAATCGCCAATAATTCTTTGATTTGATAACCTCAAAGATAAAACAGAAAATGTTTTCATGAGAAAAATCTAAAACTAAACTCACATGAAATCAACAATTCCTGATATAGAGGCATGGTGTACTCTGATGAAATTTGATACTGCCAACTCTGCAAGTAAGCACTCACATATTGATTTTCATTCATGATAACACGTGTCACTTCAAGCGTTCGAATAACATCGATTGAATTATTTTGCCGAAGCTCACCAACAGCGTTATTCAAGTTGGATTCAAATTCATTACGAGTCATCACATCGAATGAAATCAATTGTTAATCATATAATTGATTCTAATATTCTTGAATCGTGGTGCTGAGTGTGAACCTGGGTGTGGCTATACTTCTCACTCACATCAATACCTTACAAGCCGACTCTAATCCGGGCACTAGAATCGATGAATTATCATCGACGATTAAATGATCAATGAATTCGGTAATTCGCATTGATTCGTTTACAGTTTGTTGGTTCACATAGATTGCATCTGGCAAACTACAATTTTGCTGTGTCGCTGACGTAAACTCAGGTACGAGTGACGATGGGAGATAATAGACGGAAATACGTACATTGAGTATTTTGTATGCAAAGATATCCTTGAGTGACAGTGTAATGATGGAATGAGTACCTAATCCAGGAGTGAGTTGATTTCCATTGTTCACATGTCGAATTACAGCTAATTGTAAAGTTAAAAGACTAGTTGTTGTCATAAGAAGCTGTCCGATGCGCGTATTGACTTCAGTAGTCAAGAAAGACAAGGAAACTCTTTCTGTGTTGATAAGCGAAGTCGACGCTAACGTCAGCAACACATCTGCTACGGTTGATTGACTAAAAGTGCACATCGAGCGCAAAAATTGTGCATGTGCACTGATAATCGTTCGAGCATTCATTCACCAAATAAAAGAGACATTGACTCCATAAGAACGATTGATTCATAATTGAGTTATAAAATAACTTGAATAGACTTGATGAAATGTTGTTGTGATGTTGACAGAGTCTTCTAATGATGTAACGATACGAGAGCAAGGACAGTATGCTCTATCACACTATTGCATGAGAAGATCATTATAGATTTGTACTATTGGATGTTGGATGTTATTGTTACTAAATGTTTTAATGTGCCCGAGATACAAATACATAGTATAAGGGCGACAAGCATAGTCACGAGAAAGAGTCGTGTGAATCAGAGTTACATACGAAGTTTTCATGGATTCGGTGGTGCTGTCGTGTCTGGTCGATTCCTTTCTCCATACAAATTCAAATATATTGATTTATGCCGGAACTCTTCTACGATGCCTGACAAAAATATATCATCTGTCATATCGATATTTTCTCAGAGGTTTGGCATTGGGTAATGAAACGTCATAGTCGGAAATGGTTGATTGGTTGTCAGCTTTTTTTCTTTCAACATTTTCTCTTCAATGAATTTGACTAATGAGCTGCCAATGTGCAGGTAACATCGATGCGTAGATAAATATTAGTGACTTCTTAATAGGATCGCTACTAGCTTGCTATAAAATGATTGTTATGGCTTCTGATTTTCTTTGTTGCCTTTCAGCAAACAAAGAAAATGAGCGAGAAAAGGTGTAGTGCTTTGAAGAATATAAGATGATTCGACAAAAATATTTTTCTTTTTTCGTCACCCTAGAACGAATAAGAATGAAATAAAGAAAGTTGAGTATTACTTCTGACTATCAAGTAACATGAAGCATATAATTGAATCTTTCTCTCAGCTTTCAATCTGATGCATATTATTAACATAAGTCTTCGTCAATGACTCATTCTCTAAAAAAGAGACATAATTTTTGCATTAAGAAAATTGATAAATATAATGAACAAAGACGTGTAGAAGAATTCTGTAGTAATATGTTTACTTATAATAAACAAAAAGTTATTTATTTAGTTTTGCTCAATTGTTCTGAATAAATAGCTATTTGATTTCAAGCACTATTGAATAAATATTCATGGCTATTGAAATATCTCCAAGTTACTTATTTATTGTGATTGTTGTTTGCTGTTAGCTAAAAGCGACAGATTAAATATAGGTGGATGAATAACACACAAGAATATCATGAAATTATTTTTGTACTTGCATTGAGAATTATTGAAATCAAATATTGATTGTTGACGTACAGTCAAAAGAAAATAAGTTTAGAGATGTTTCTAAATAATGACTTAGTGACAATTGAATAGTTTTTTCAATAGTAAGGATTCATATCGAATTGATTAACGCCTTTCTTATGGAAAATATAGATTTCTGTTAGTCAGCGTACAAAAAAAGCAGGTGAATATTAGCACCAGATTCGAGTAAAACATGCCCATATTCGTCTAAGAGTCTATCCTAGAGTTGAGTGTGCGTGTGAGTGAGATTAAGACTCAGACTCATAGACAGATCCACTCGTTTCGAACAATCAAAACAGCAAATTTATTCTCGATTATCGGTATGGACTGAAGAGAACAAGTGTATCTACGCCTACACTACACACCAAAGTTCACATTCTTCGTTGTTGTTTGTGTTACTTGCTTATGACTAGATACTTCTCCTTTACTGAAATTCAAATTTTATGTACTGTCGTTAAATTTTGCTTTAATTAATATATTAGACACTACAAGATCAACTTAGACAAATCCGACATTGACGCATTTACCTTT